GGATTGATTATTCGTTAATTGATTGAGAAAAATATTTGATTCATTTGTAATTGATTGAAATTCCGGATTTGGCTTGTAATGAATTTAATTTCCTGGATTTGATTTGGTCGTAAGATTTGTTATGTTTGATATTGCACTAATATTGGATTTTCTGCATTGTTATTTCTGGAAAATATAGATTTGATTGAGTTTTAGCTTTTGAGATTTGATTTGTATTTTTTTAATTTAATTTCTACAGTACATGTTTTATGCAAATTGCGCGCAGATTTTTGACAAATTAAAACAGTAGTTGTTAACTAATTAAATTTGGGCCAACATCGTTTAATAATTGGGCTTGCGCATTTTTCTTGTTTACAACAAACGAACAATTTTTTAAAAACAATTGGGCTTGGGCTGCTTAATCATTTCGTATAACAAAAAACCGTTTTTTCCTTGACAACAAAAAATATTTGTTTTCCTTAAACCAGACCCAGTGTTGTTTTACTAAAAAAAAGTTTTTAATAAATAAACAAGCTTTAACTTAATGACTAAACATTACTGTAAAAGTTTTATCAGCCAAACGTTACACTCTTATTTCTCTTCTTTTTAAAGGGTAATTATTTTTTATTTATTTATAATGATAACTTCCTTTTAATAATAATATTATTCATTTACTCAAAATAATGACAAATAATAGTTTTATAATATTAGTACTTTTTTTCAAAAATATTAGATGGGCCAATCTAATGGGCTGACTAATTGCAATTTCAACCTCCCCTTTTACTAATAACATTAATACTAAAGATGGGTTTTATTAATTAAAAACTTAATTATTAATTGCCTAATTTTTTATTTTCGAATCACATGGGCCATAAGCCAACATGCTTCGCGAATAAGCCTATGAGTCTTTCTGATTTAGAAAGCCCCATTTTCCTGAATTAAAATACACCCCCCGGTTGACTTAAATTTTAAGAATGAGCCATCAAATATTGTTGTATCATCCTTAATTAAACGTTTCTTTATTTGAAAAATAAAATCATCGGGGTAGGACAATCATATAGAAGTTATCCAAAATCAAGAAGAACTTATGTAACATCACTATTTTCCAAACTCAAAAAATAACCACCTGCAACTTGACTTCTCTAACTCAAAATCAAAACACAAATTTCAGTTTCAAGGTAAATTTTTTTGACTTTGAACTCTTCATACAAACACCATTAGTGGTTCATTTGTGAAGATAAAATATAGATAGCATTGCCTTGAAGCTAACCATATGCTTGCTTTTCATTTTCACTAACCATGTGTTGAGAACTGACTTTTACATGTAGCAGAATAATGTTAGAAGTAAAAAACAACAGTATGAGTCGATGCATAACACTATGAGTCGACACATATTATGTACAAAACAAGTTATGAGTCGATATAAAATGTGCATGTGTCGATACAAAATAGAAATGAGTCGATAAAAACCATTATATGTTGACTCATACGGAGTTGTTTTTGACTTCCAGGGGCAAGAAATGAGTATGAGTCGATACAAAACGTGCATGTGTTGATACAAAACAGAAATGAGTCGATACAAACCCTTATGTGTCGACTCATACTGAGCTGATTTTGACTTCTATGAGCAATGAATGATATGTATCAATGCATAAAAGTTCTCATATCAATAAATAAGTGCATGCGTCAATACATGAAAAAAACTTGTATCAATACATAAGTATATGTGTCAATACATAAAAGTTTTCTTAAAACAATTTTTTTTTTACAATATCTTTATATTTCTTTACATTTTTATTGTTATTCATTATTCAATATGGTTGTAATAGTGACTTGGGGTTTAATTACTTGTCATCTCCCCATTTGTAAATTTGTACCCCCATCCCCAAATGATGTAATAGCGTAGAATCTTTACATTCTGCAATTTGTCGCTTTCAAATTTAAATGTTAGTAATTGGGGTTTGTATGGCAAGACTAAAATCAACCAATAGAAAACTCTAATTCAAGACAAAAAAAGCATGAAAAACAAACACTTTGCACACTTGCACCTATAGGGTTAATCTCACTTGTTGCCTTGAGAAAAATAGTCATATCCCTCGAACGTGAGATACTTTAGCAAAGACCCTAGAATACAAGATCTTAGTCCCTCGATGATCCTTTGATGTTGCCTTCAATAAACAATCTTAGACCCTTACAAAAAATTTCCAAGGTATCCTACAATGTTGCCTTCTATGACTACACGAAGACTCACGTCCATCCCTTCACATCCAATGATAGGGCGTCTTACCAATCAATAGTAAGATAGCAATATCTAAAGGAGGAGGAAATGAACAAATTTTTTTGAGTAGGTAGAACGTTCGTAGTTGCTTGCTCATAAACATTTCAAACCAAACATATTTCAAATACACTAACACTTCCCATTAAATATTTTCAAAAGTCAACGTTTTGTATACATTCTTATAGAGACGAGGATCATTACAAAGTTCGCTTAAGCGAAGGCACTTTCAAAAATACTTTCAAAACCAATCACAAACACATTTTAAACAAAGCATTTCAAAGTCAGCTAGCAACTAAGAGCCCGTAGATAACTACCGATGAAAAGGGTACTAACACCTTCCCTTTTCATAACCTACCCCCCGAACTCAAGAAAATATCTCAAAAGGTTTTTCCTGTTCTTTTCACCCTTTTCTTTATTAGATAAAAGAAAAGTCGGTGGAGACTCTTGTTATTCGCAACAATTGCGATAAAACCCAAAACACCCAAGTCAGTTCTCCCACCTTATTACAAGAGGCAACAAAGAGTTAGAAGGATCCCAAGAAGATTTTGCAGAGTTTGACATGCTGCAAGACACTGAAGTAGACTCTGAAGGAGAAGTTATTATGTGTGCAATGTTAGTAGACTCTGAACCTGTGAGTACGGAAGAGACTCTTAAGAAGCAAGTCTGGTTGCAAACCAAGAAAGAAGAACTTGATGCTATAGAGAAAAACAAGACTTGGAAGCTGACAGAACTTCCAAAAGGCAAGAAAGCCATCAACATCAGATGAGTTTTCAAGCAGAAGCTAAAGCTAGATGGATCAATTGGAAAACACAAAACAAGATTAGTAGCAAGAGGTTTTCTACAGAAGCCTGGGTTGGATTACTCTAAAGTGTTTTCACCTGTAGCGAGACATGAAAAAATCAGACTAGTGATTACAGTAGCTGCTAATAAGAATTGGTCTCTCATGCATTTAGATGTAAAATCTGAATTTCTGAATGGTCCATTACAATAAGAGGTATACATGTCACAATCTCCTGGATTTAAGAAAAAGAACCAGGAAGGGATGGTGTTCAGATTACACAAAGCCTTATATGGATTGAAGCAAGTGCCAAGAGCCTAGAATCTGAAGATTGATTCATTTTTCAAGGAACAGGGGTTTTAGAAGTGTGAGATAGAGTATGGTGTTTATGTTTAGCATACTTAAGAAGGAAATATGATTCTGGTATGTTTGTATGTTGATGACATATTGCTAACAGGAAGTTCTAAACAAGAGATGACTAAGTTCAAGAAGATTCTGATGAATGAGTTTGAGATGACAGATCTTGGGAAAATGAGTTACTTTTTAAGGAAGGAGTTTATGTACTCTGAAAAAGGAATCATTTTGCATCAGGTAAAGTATGAACTTGAGATTTTGAATATATTTAAGATGGATAATTGCAAAACTGCTATCACACCTACTGATACGAATCAGAAATTGGACTCTGATTCAGATGGAGAGGGTGTGGATGCTACAATCCTCAAACAGTTGGTTGGTTCTCTGAGGTATTTGTGTAATATCATACCTGATATTTGCTATGAAGTTGGAATGGTTAGCAGATTTATGAGTAAACCAAAGTGGTCTCATTACCAAGCTGCTATCAGGATTCTGAGGTATGTGAAGAGAACTCTGAAGTATGGAGTGTTATTTTCTTCTGGAAGAAAGATCGAATCAGAGCTTCTGAGTTATTCAGACTCTGATTGGTGTGGAGACAGAGTTGTCAGAAGAAGTACTTCTGGGTACTTATACAAATTTCTGGGAGGTCTTATTTCTTGGTGTTCCAAGAAGTAACCCGTTGTTGCACTGCCAACCTGTGAAGCTGAATATATTGCAAGCGTTCTAACTGCATGTCAAGCTGTGTGGATTTTGAACTTGCTGCAAGATCTGAAGATCGAGGTAAACAAGCCTCTGAAGTTGATGATTACTTAAAGTCTGCAATCAATCTTGCCAAGAATCCAGTGTTGCATGGGAGAAGCACTACGCCAAATAAGCTATTTAATAGCGCTTTTTTTTTGTTTTTGATAGCGCTTAAAAGTGCTATTAACCGCGCCACTATTGTAAATATTTCTTATTTAATAGCACTTTAAAAGCGCTATTAAAGTACCAATTTATAATAGAGTTTTAATTAAAGTGCTATCAAAGTCAGTATTTTGCATGTTTTTTGTTTGTTTTTTTATAGCACTCTAAACAAAAAGCGCTAATATATAACATATGTTTGATAGCGCTTTCAAATAAAGTGCTAATAAATGGTACATATTTGGTACAATATTTTTAATAAGTACAGTACAATATCTTCTGTGCCATATCTTCTAAACCAATAAAATATAATTTTGTACAGAAAGTTTGTTTTGAAATGCATTTTATCTAGTAAAATATAATTAGATTAATCATAATATTGTACAAACACACAAACTGGAAATTGATTTGAAATGCAATCTATCTAGTAAAATATAATTAGATTAATCATAATATGTAAACTATTTAACGTTGCATTTTATTTTGTAGAAAACATATGATAATTTATAATTAAACTAACATTATCCAAGACAACTGGGTAATCAAGTTTATTCATACCCAGTAAACTAATCAATCTTGAACCTCAAATACTACTGTTCAAGGAACAAAAAACCACAGCTTGATACACAGACATAAATTCAAATTTTACAGTTTCAATTAAAACAATAAAACAAGGATTAGCACAATCTGCAAATCTTGCAAACCAAGTTATTAAATTAGAGAATATTGAATACTAATTTGTGAGGGGTATGGTGGAACTTGCACTTCAACAGTACCTTCAAGCATATGTATCACATTTCTCATGCTTGGTCTAAGAACTGGATCCTCTTGAACACACCAAATTGCAATCATTACCAATTTCTCCAACTTTTCTTTGTCATCCAATGCCTCATTGTCACCCTCAACCAATGCATCTACAGCACCATCCTTGTAGCAATCATAAGCCCAGTCAGTTAATATTGCTTTCTCTTCATCTTCTTGTTCCATTTCTTGAACACATCTTCTACATGAAATAATCTCAAGTAGCACTACTCCATAACTATACACATCCACTTGAGCTGTGATAGGCATGTTCTTAAACCATTCAAGTGCAACATACCCTTTTGTTCCCCTAATGCCAGTGTTGGTTTTGCTTTGATTCATGTTCATCAACTTGGCTAGTCCAAAGTCAGAAATTCTTGCATTGAAGTAATCATCAAGAAATATATGATATGAATTATACCGTGGGTTATAGAAAATGGTGAAACGACTGTTCGTTGCAGCGGCGTGAGCTGCAGCAGCAAGCAGCCCCAAGTGCATGCTGTCACTTGACAACACTGATGAAGGCATCATATGTTGTGGGCGATTGGCACGCCGAATGCCTAGAAGCAACTGGTTTTTTTCATTCCTGCCAAAGAAAAAAGCACCTGAATCACACCAATCATAAAATACCACGTAATTAATGAAGTTAAATATGCTTCACATGAAATCATAAAGCCTGGATTAGAAAAACTATATAAGAAAATGAATCGTAACCACACTTCAATAGCAACCCATTGAAGGAACACTGGCTCAACATATGAACAAAAACATAAACACATGAACGTGTTACAACAAGACTTTTCCAATAACCGGAAAATTATATACCATATAAACAGCACTGAATCACCAGCAACAAGTCTTTTAGCACTCACAAAGACACTCCACCCAGTTGTAAGCAAATGCCTTTTGGGCTGGCCTGGAGAAAAAAAGACGGCAGATTTAAACCTTATAAATGGAATGTGAAATTATTTTCATCACCAAGTAATAAACATGAAAAGCTTTTCAGGGAAGTAAACTAAAAAATTTAATCAGATAAAAATTAAAAAGAAATAATAAAATCCTATGCTTAGAACCAAAAAGAGGTGCCCAAACTCAGATTCATAACTCACCGCGGAAGATATGTTTGAATTTCCAGTCATTATCATGCAAATCCCTGGCAATTAACTCTTGAGCAGGAGGCTGTTGGGAAAAGTCCTGTAGATCATAATTACAAAGTCGAGTTAAAAGATATGATGAACGTGTTAATTTACTTATAAATTACAGACAAAATTTTACCAATGGAGGGAAAACTTTTTCAGCTGCGCGGCGAGGAACAGAGAAACCCCCATGAGTGCTTGTATCACTGGCAGTCAAAATTTTGCAGAAATAGTTTGTTGGCTGTTTATTTGCAGTTCCCAACTCTGCAGGATGATATGCCTCTTTTTGCTCATCCTGAAAACACGACCGTAGCCAAAAATTTAAAAGTTGAATTTCGACATAAAATTTATATAAAGAAAAACTAGCTCATTTAAGAAAGGGAATCATACAGGATTTAGAGGTTGCAAGGTCATCTGTGCATACACTTCATCAGTCTCTGTATCTGCCTGAATCAAACAAAAATGAACAAATAAATAAGAGTGTTAGAATAAGCATATGGGAGAATATGAAACAAGGAAATCAAAATAAACAAGCCTTACATGCATTGTCAGATTATGAAGTTGACAAATAAGCTGGGGAGGTAAGCTTGGATTGGGGATATATGTATCAACTTCTCTGTTGGTAGATACAGCAACCTGAGCAGAAAAATGCCGATTTAAATCATGCATACAAATCGAAAAAGATGATACGAGTTTTTAAATGTACAAATTCATGTGCTAGTTTCACGGAAGGAGATAGAGATGGTAAATACTTAATTCATTAACCTGCAACAGTTAAAATTATGGAATTGTGCTTCGAGGTAAGTTACATTACTTTTATGCTTCTTGGACTTGAGCTGCTTATCATCCAGATCTCCAGAAAGCACTTTATGATCACTCTCTACGGAAAACCAGATTACAAAATATAAATGTACAGACCAATTTTTTCGTACAACCAGAATAACCAAGCCTATTCCCACTATCGGCTAGATGGATCATTCAAAGTCATAAAGCCCTCATTTATTGGGTCCCTAGATACTTTTTACTTAATCTAAAAAGTAGTATTTTATGCAAATTACTGAAGAAAAAATGAAGAGAAGAAGCACTAAATAGTGAAATAAAACATTGTAAAAAGAAAATCTTAAGAGCCTAAAAGTGATAAGCAAGCATTCACCTGATACACTCCACATTTCAAAATCAGATTTATCATCAGGTTTTTCAAGAAAGGGGACATGTGAAATGGCATAGTACATATTGTGGATGACACCCTCAATACTGCAAAAGATACATTTTCAAATCAAAATTAGAATTATAGAACAAATTAAGTACATTTACAAGTAAATTATCCATCTCCTAGTTTCAAAACTAAGACCAAGTTTGCCTGGCAGAAAAATTATAACTGCTTTCTTTCATTATACATTGAGTTGAAAAGATAAATATATTGCTTATAGTATAGCATATTGTATGACATTACATGTCATTTTCGTATATTTTTTATGATAAAAATAGAAGTCATTTTTGTATATAAAACATGCGAGATACAAATCACTTAAGACCAAAGAGTAGAAATAACCAGTGTCTATAGATTTTACTAACTTTGAGCTCAATTGACTTTCATCATTGCCATCTACACTTGCAGTTTTATCATCTAATAACAAAGATAAGAAAAGGAGTTACCCAATCAGAATACCCAAATATTTAGAGAAATTGAAACAGAACACATAAATCTCCTATCTGCAATTTTGCAAATCAAAAATTGGAACATTAAAAGCTAAGTTAGAAAATCACCTGAAACATCTTTCCCCTGCAAATTTCTAGCTAGCTTTTCTAGACTTATGAATGTAAAATAACTACACCGAGTGACAAAATAGTTCAGCAATCAAGAATTAAACAATAGTTAAAAACTCATAAAACAGAGTAAACGAATCAATTTAACTTGCAAAGAAAAACCCTTCATTAATCATACCTGACATCAATATACTTGAAATACTTTGATGTTAGTAAATCAATCAAAAATTCAGCAGAACTAGCAGAGTGAATCTGATGAAGCAAAACAAAACAAAAATATCATATATCAAACTATGAGCATAAAAATAACAAAGTAGAATTACGATTAGAATGAGAAACTTACAATACTACTGATAATTCTGTTATACAACGAAGAATGAAAGGTGCCGCCATTAGCAACCTTCACAAACTCCATCAACGTATCCAACACAACTTCCTTCAGAGTTTCATCAGATTGATCCGATACAAGAACATCTATCAGAGATTTAAGAAACTCATCGAACTTCGAACGGAGCCAAGTGAGGTAAATGAACTCAGACTGGTCGGCATCGGCGTTGTCGGAGGAGGAGGTGTTGACAGTGGCAGAGGAGGAAGGTAGTTGAGGGAGGAGAGGGAGGAAGAAAGAATGAAGAGAGAGAAGCGATTCGAGGTGGAGAAGAAGGTGAGACGAAGGTGAGAAGAAGGGGGAGGTTGTTGATGTTAGAGGCTGATGAGAGTAGTTCGTTACCTAGGGTTTTGAGTTCGGCGACGCCGTACTGCTTGGATTGAAAAGAAGAATCGATTAATTGTGTTTTGTTTTTTTTTTATCAATTAATTAATTAATTCATTATTATATATAACATAGCGCTTTTTAATAAATGCTATTATATAGGTAGTCAAATAATAGCGTTTTATACAAAATGCTATCTTAAAGAAGTTTAATAATAGCGTTCTGGTACAAAGTGCTATCAAAATTACATAGTCTGTATTATATAATAGCGCCCGATTAAAAAGTGCTATTATAAATGTGTTTTTTCCATTTTAATAGCATTTTTTTTAAAAGTGCTATTAAATTAGGTGATACAAAAAATCATTTTTGGCGTAGTGAAGCAAGCATATTGAGATTAAGTATCACTTTTTGAGGAATCATGTTCAGAGTAGAATATTAGAAGTTGTACACTGTAGCACTCAGAAGTAGATGGCAGACATTCTAACAAAGGCTATCAAGACTGATCAATTTCTTCATTTGAAGGATGAAATTGGTGTTGTGAGTTTTGTGTAAATATAAATTAAGGGATGGTGTTGGAAATAATTTATATTTTAGGAATGTCTTGTTGACTAAGTCTGTTAGAGGGTATTTTAGTATTTTATTATACTCTAATATTTGTGTATAAATAACCTAATAGTAGCACTACGCCAAAAACTGCTTTTGCCAGCGCCTCTACTAAAGCGCTTATTGAAAAAGCGCTGCCATAGCCTTCACAAAAAACAAAATTAAAAAAAAGGGAAACCTACGAAGGCGCTTTTTTAAAAGCGCTGGCATAGGTGGGGGATACGAAAGCGCTTATTGAAAAAGCGCTGCCATAGCCTTCACAAAAAACAAAATTAAAAAAAAGGGAAACCTACGAAGGCGCTTTTTTAAAAGCGCTGGCATAGGTGGGGGATACGAAAGCGCTTTTTTAAAAGCGCTGGCATAGGTGGGGGATATGAAGGCGCTTTTTAACAAGCGCTGGCATAGGTGGGGGATACGAAAGCGCTTTTATAAAAGCGCTGGCATAGGTGGGGGATATGAAGGCGCTTTTTAAAAAGCGCTGGCATAGGGGGGGATACGAAAGCGCTTGTTTAAAAGCGCTGGCATAGGTTAGTTAAATAATTTCTAAACCCCTAAATTTACAATCAGATTTCTAAACCCAGCTGATACAAAAAACGAAACCCAGTTGTTCATCTTCTTCTCCATTCGTCTGCTCCTATTCAAGCTCTCTTCATCCTTCGTCGTCCTCACTTTCATAACAACCTTTGAACCTTCGTCGACCCTTCCCATCCACTGTTCATCCCTTCGTCGACCCTTCCCATCCACTGTTCATCCCTTCGTCGTCCTCTCACCATTACCCCCCGCCTCGCATCAACGACACAATCACCAACACCAGCAGCCTCCTCCGTTGTAACTCCAAACGCCTAGCACCATCACCTTCGAATCTTCGGCCCACGACTAATTCAAATTTTCAATCCAAGTAAGTGTTCCTATCATTAAAGCTTGTGCTTCTGTAATTGTTGTTTTTGGTGTACATCGTGACTAGAGTGTTTGATTCTACTGTAATTTTGATTCAAGTGTAATTTGCATCCAAAAAACCCATCAAACTGTAATTTACATTCAGGTGTTGTTTCTTTCCCATTCAATTTCATCTCAACATTGATTCATCATCACCCACTCTAACTACTTTACTTTATTACATTAATTAGGGTTTCGTTCTCAAAGTTTCTTGTTATTACAAAACCCTTCAACAGTTAGCAAGAACGAAACCCAAGGGATTTTGAAGGTTGGCTGTTACTTGTTAGAGGAGAGATCTAAAAGTTCATTTCACTTTTTCCATTTCTTTGGTTTGAGGTAAGAATTCTTACTCATTTTTCTTAGTTTTAGATATTGCATATTAACTGTTTGTGAAATGTTCTACATGATTGTTCCTAATTAAGGGTATGTTAGAGGGTTAGGAAAATGAAGTTGGATTTACGGGTCCTAATTTTAGGTGTATACTAGCTTAAAATTCACAAGTACTTAAGTTGTTGGTGTTCATTTGTGTTTTTCCCTCTTTTAGATGATTTGTGTGTGATTAATCGTTAATAGACATTCATATATTGTCAGTCATCGATAGTAAAAATGTCAAAGGCAACACTTAGTACGGATCCGGTAAAAAAAGTATGGGAAGAACGATGTTGGAATTTGGTATTTGTATTGTAATAGATTGTAGAACAGATAAAAGGAGTCGGATAGTAGTGTTACGTTATCGAAACTGAATAAAAGATGCACCTATCAACTGTGAGATTTGTGCAAAGAAGAGAAGCAATATTTTCAAACTTTATGGACTGTACTAAGAGGGTGTGAGTTATGCTTGGAGATACTTCAAGTGGGATTATAAATTTCTAATCCTATCTACACTGTAGACAAAAGAATTAATCACACAAAGGAAATTATAACATTACTACTAAAAAAGTTATAGCTAAGAAAATGTTTTAATAGGCTTGTATATTTTGCATATAAGTCTTACTGAGATTTTTATCTCATTAGTTTAAGTTTATATTTCAGCTTAAGTGCTTAACAGGACAGATAGATTACATATAGATTACATGTGGTTTTCACAGAATGATGCTCCATAAATTTTTCCATGATCCCTTACCTACAAAGATAGTATCGTCTATAAATTGTAGAATTTCATAATTAACATTTTAATTAACTTTAAATACCATAAATTCTCCAATGTTAACAACATTACAAACCGGTCCTGTTGAACCTTAAGCTACGATCCAGAATAAAAAATGTGATAGTGGATCACATTGATTGAAATAGTAGTAGTTGAAAACTTTATAACTCCTACAACCATTACTTATAAGATTTCTGATAAATATACGATGACTCTCTTACTTTGTGTATTTTGTGTGTTGCTCTTGACGTGGCATGGATGGTGATGATTCAACCAATAGAATAATATAATCTAGAAGAGATACTATGAACATAACACAATATTTCACAGGGAGAAAGAATTAGCTGCTGTTAAGATAAATCAGCCCACGTCTGAGTTTAGAAG